ATGCTCCTCCCCTAGAAGACAGGGACAATCTTTCAGACTATTTTTGTATTCCCAACACAGTGTTTGGAACATAGTATGCTCTTAATGAATGCTGGTTGATTGATTTGAGCAGGGAAATGACTTGGTCAGACCTGTGTCTTTTTGATTCAGTTGAAGGCAACATCTAAGCCTTTATCTGAATTACTAACAAAAATGCTGAACAAGATGGAGACAAGGACAGATTCTTTGGGTACTACACTAGAGACTTCCCACATTTAAGTTGATTCTGCAGCAGGTTGACCATTAGATGATGAAGTCTTATCAATCCATTAGTTGCCAGTCTGTTCAATCAAGCCATTCTGAATCTAACCATGAGTTCTGATTCTGCCTTGGACATTTATTACTAGTTGTATGATACTGGGCAGGCCACAACACTCTGAACCTTCATTTCCTCAACTGGAATAAAAGCAATTTTATGAGACTTTTTGATGTATAGGTTAACTTTGCACAACTGTTTTTCCATTCTTTTTTATAAAGGACAGCTTAGGAGTGGGGGTGGGGAAGTGATACAATTGGGAAATGTAGGTGATGAAAAAACAAGTAGGCAGCTCTTTTCCTTTAAATGAATTCCATACTATCACTCACTGGCAGGACAGTAGTGACCAATCTGTTTTGAGCAGAGATTTATGTATTCAAACTACTCATAGGTTTGAAGAGGTGGTTTTTCTCTGGACAAGACTAATCTTCCAGTTTACAAAGAGATTATCTCTGCACGTGAGCTTTAAGGTAGGTTTAAAAAGGAATAATTTAGAAACTAAATCACCGATAAAGGGATTAGGGCTCATTAGAATAGTAGCTAAAATTATTAATTAACATTTTAAGCACAATGACCATTTTAAAGAAATCAAGGAGCATTTAATAAGTAAATAATTTACTTTAAGCATTAAGTGCCTACTATTTACAAGGCATGGGAAAAAGGAAAGACAAAGGAAAGACAGTCCCTTTCCTCAAGAAATTTTTATTCTACTATGGGACACAAGTTTCCAAGTAGGTAAGTAAAGAGTTCATATATTTATGTGGATGTGCAGAATACATAAAAAATGGAGAAGCTACCATAACAACTGAGATTGGGAATCAAGAAAGGTAACACTTGAGCTGATTGAGACTTTAAGGGAATAAGGAATTACAAAAAGCAAAGATAAACAGGGATAGCATGCCAGACATTGAGGTATGACACAGACTCTAACATATATTCTCTATATTAGGTCAGTTTAACTTGTTAGATTATATTAAAATAGCATTAGTGACTCCATTTTGCCTTTACCATTTTGTGACATTGTTTCAACTTTTTCCACGTAATTTTGAAGAAGTTAAAAGATTACTCCCCCTCCCAAATGTCACCAATTTAAGGAATGTCACAAAACTACCCCTCTCCCTCTCACCTCAATGTCTCCCGATCTTCTCCACCAATAAGAAACCCAGTGTCTCAACCCCTATAATTCTGTTTTTCTTGTTTATCATTCCTACAAATTGTATCTTAGAACTGTGTCAGGGTCCTTGGCTACCAAGAACCTTGGACACCAAGAACCTTGGACTCGATTTGTTTCTGCAATAGTATCCCTTGCTAAATAAATCATCTGTCTGGATGAAACTCAGTTTCTTTATTCTACCAAAACAAATCAGACCCTACTTTGTGAGGTTCAGATTAATATGCAATTAGACAGAGAAGATGCATTGAACCAAACAGTGAAGGGATTTAAGTACCAAGTGGATTATTTGTATATTATCCTAGAGATAAAAGGAAACTAATGAAACTTCTTGAAAAGAGGAATGTTATGGTCAAACTTGCACATTTGGAATATAAAATTGCTGACTGCATAGTAAATAGATAATGAAAGACTGGAAGCAGGAAGATCAATTCTAGAAGGCTATATCAATAATCCAAGTTAGAGATGAAGAGGAACTGAACCAGGATATTGGCTACATCATGTAGTTATGTAAGAAGAGAGAAAAGGAAACCAACTTCTGTGGTGGTTAAACTGACAAGACTTGACAACTATGTTTTTTGTTTTTTCTTTCTCATGATTTTTCCCTTTTGTTTGGATTCTTTCACAACATGACTAATGTGGAAATATATTATTTAACAGGATTGTACATGTATAACCTATATCAGATTGCTTGCTGTCTTATGGGGAGAAAAACTTGGAATTCAAAATTTTATAAAAAACGAATGCTGAAAACTATCTTTACATGTAATTGGCAAAAAATAAAATACTATTAAGTGGAAAAATTTTTAAAAAGACTCGACAACTGTTTCGCTATGGGGATGAGGCAGAGTGTAAACAGCTTAAAATGACTCCTACTTTGCAAACCTGCAAAACTTAAAAAGTGTGGGTTTAGGCAGAAAAGATATGATACCTGAATAAGCAGGTTTGGTCATCTGCAAAAAAGAAAACGATGGGAGTGGGAGATGACAACAGATTATAGGACCAGGCTCAAAACAAAGATAAATTTCTGAGATATGTTCTCTCGGTTCTGGAGTTCTTAACTCTTTCTGTCTGGTTGAACTCCTTCTGGCAGTTAAACCTATGGAGCCCTGTTTTTAAATGCATAAAATAAAATACATAGGACTACAAAGTAAAAATTTAAATTTTACCAAAATATTAAAAAAAAAAGTTCATAGACCCCAGATTAAGAACTCTTGCCTTACTTTATGCTTACACATACTTAATTTACAAGGGCAGCTAGGTGGTGCAGGGGAGAGAACACTGGTCCTGGAGTCAGAAAGCTGTTTTTTGCTCACTTGTGTCCAACTCTTTTGTTACCTCACTTGAGGTTTTCTTGGCAAAGATACTGGAGTGGTTTGCCATTTTCCTTTCCAGGTTATTTTACAGATGAGGAAACTGAAGAAAACAGGGCTAAGTGACTTGACCAGGGTCACACTGCTAGTAACTGTCTGAGGCCACATTTAAACTCAGGTCATAACCTCAGACACTTACTAGCTGTGTGACCCTGGGCAAGTCACTTAACCCCTGCCTGCATAAAACTGAAGAAGGAAATGGTGTTGTGAAAAAAAAAAAAAGTCTTACTGTAAACTAAAGATAATAAGCAGAGGTAACAAACTGGATAGAGGCCAGAGTAGGGAAGACACAGGTTCAAGTCAAGCTTGTGACTGAACTGCTGTGCCACTCAGTATTAGGGCCCTCAAGTACATTCTAAGACTGTAAATTGCTCAACAGTGGAAGAATGGCTTGGCCAGAGGTACTCTCCTCAGTGGCGTCTTCCTTACATCTGTAATATCACAGGTCCAGATATAAAACAAAACAAACTATAATACATGTAAAACCTTAAGGGTTAACATTTACTTTTATAGATTAACAATGATTACTTTCTTTTAAAGCATATACATTTAACATTAACAGCTACAAACTCTCCCCTATAAAAGGGGAGACAAACATACACAATCCTTATAAATATTTATATGAGACACTATGCTCAACCCTGATTTAAAACTACTCCTAAGTACAAAACATGAGTATTATGTCTATTTTCTTTTTTTAAAAACCATTTTGTTACTTAAGCATTACAAAATAAACTGTTGTGATTGAAACAAACTCTCAAAAGCTTAATGAACCAATTGCTATGGTTAATACTCCCAGGACCCCGATTTAGGGGAAGAGATGTCCCTCGAGGCAAGTCTGACACAAGTATGTTTGTACAGAAAAATACCTAAGGAAAAAAAATACCTTTGGAAACAGAAAGTATGTTCCTGTACCTAAATAATGACCACCTAGCAATGCACAAAACACAAATAGATCGATTATAAAAAGACTTTGAAATGAGCAGCAAAAGAGTAAAAACTGACTTATACTCACTTTTTCTTTAATTAAAAAAAAAAAAACGAACAAACCAACCCTGATCCACAATCTCAATCATTTAGCCGCCACCCTTCACAGTAATGCCTTTCTTCTAATTATACCCAATTTATCCTATCCATAGTTTGTTTGTAGAGTTGTTTGCATGTGGTCTCTCCCAATAGACGGAGAGCTCCGTGGGAGGAGAAACTTTTTTTTCTTTCTTTGTATCCTCAGTCCTAAGGGTAGTGACTAAGACATTAGCTTTACAAACGATTATTTCGGTAGCTAGGTGGCGCAGTGCATCCGGTGCCGGGACTGGCGTCAAAAGACCGGAATTCAAATTCAACCTCAGACCCTGGGCAAGTCACTTACCTTGTCTCAGTTTCCCCATCTCTAAAATGGATATATTAGCACCTACCTCACAGTTGCTTCGAGAATCAAAAGAGATATTTGTAAAGCGCCTGGCACACAGTGGGGGCTGTTATTTATTTACATCACTTTCATTCAATCTTCCCTAAGACTTTTTCTCTTGCTCGGATGAGAAACATTCAAAAAAGTTCGCACTGACCAGCCAGAACCGTCCACCTCGCCTCCCACATCGGACTCCGGGTCATCCGAAGTCGCTCTCCCCCGCCCCCGACGGCCGCAGACTCACTCAGGGATCCCCGGGGATCTCGTCCTCCGCCGGAGGCTGCCTGAGTGCGCATGGACCAGGGCGAGGGAAGCTGCTCCCGTCCGAGGGGGCCAAGGCTGGAATTCCGGGAGATTCTCCTGGGTCTGACCGAAAACGCCCGCGGCGGCTGCGCTCGACGCCCTCCTCCCGGCAGCACCCTGGCCTAGCAGGAGTCCGACTGCCCGACTGCCCGACCGCGAAGGGGCCGGAGCGGCTGCGGAAACCCCGAGCCGAGCCGAGCCGAGCCGAGCCCAGCCCAGCCCAGCCCAGCCCAGCCCCACAGACCGCCCCAACCAGCGCCGAGGCTGAAGGAGCTTCTTCCGCTTTCAGCTTCTCCCCGCCCCCACCGGGAGCCGCCAACAGCTCCCGCCCCCTTCCGAACGTCTGCGGTCCCGGCGGGCCTGAAGCTCGTCCGCCTTCCCAGAGAACAAAAGCGACGCTACCCCCACCCCCCACCCCCACGCCCTGCGACCGCGACGAGGGCCCTTTACCGAACAAGCAGCGCCGGCCTGCCGCCGCCAAAGCAACGCGAGCCTGCACGAGAGGACAACGCACCGAAGGGTAGGCGGCCGGCCGAGGCTGCCCGGAGTGAAGACGCGGAAGGAAGGAAGAGGCGGGAGCGGGTCCGGGAAAACCTCCGGGACCCTACCGCACCCACACCGACGACCAGCCGTGACACCCGAGCTCCCTGCCCGACTAACCCCCGGCCCCGGGACCGCCCCCAGAAGAGGGCAAGGCGGGATAGGAAGAACTGGGTCCTAGCGACCCCCATATTAGTTTTTGCCAGCCGCTGGTTGATTGCCTGTAGCCTAGTTAAAAGTCAAGACCTTCGACGTGGGTTAAAGCTTCAGGTTTTCAAGCAGCTTAAATGTTTATAATGTAGATGTTGATCTGGAAGACTGGATTTCTTGGTTAAAGCAGAAAGGCCGTGGTTAGTCTCTTTAATTATGTGCAAAGGATTCTGATTGTGATTAAATATGCTCAGAATTTTGGCATCTCGGAAAAGGACACCCCGGGGTGTTTACCCTCCATCGCGGGGGGAAAAAAACAAACATACTTTTAAATTTAATCTGCAGTTTTAACATTTCCTTCATCACTAAGGCTAGACAATCAACATAAATAAATCAAGCCCTGATTTTATACCTTTGCCCGATTTCCGAGATTGCTCTCTGAAAATTTAACGATTGTCTGGATCTCAATTGAGCTGGCTTCAGCACACCCCGGGATGTACATCAATATCTTTGGTTGAGATCTCTGGGTTCCTCCTAGAACCTCCATTTAAAGAGTTCCCCAGTCAGTGCAAGTCTTTATTTCCTACTCTAGGCTATGAATCTGTCAACCGGGACCAGAACCGGCCTCTAATCTGGGTGTCCAGAGCCGAACAAACAGAGCAGGCTAGAGACAGGAGTCAGGACACAGACAGAAGTTTAATTAATTTCACAGTGAGGAAAATGACTTAGGCATATGAAAACCCACCCCAGCTCCAAGAAGGTGGGCTTAAGGTGCTGAACTAAAGGCGGGTGTTATATACATACTGGGAGGGACCGTGACATAATCATTTTTAGGTCTTGAGTTACTGTTTCCACGGGTCCTGTGGGGACAGTATTGACTCCTATCTTGGGGTCATGCCCACCCTCCCGGGCACAAAACCAGAATTCTGTTACCGGAACACCTGTCAGTGATAAGGAACAGGGATTGTGACTATGTGGTGGATGGCCCTGGGAAATAGGGGGAACTACACCTGGTGCTGATCCAAGCAATACGTTTGCCAGCGGGTGATATCATCCAGAATGCAAAGGATTATTGTTATGCCAAGTTCAGGGCATAGCCTGCTTTTTGGGCCTTAGATCTGGGAAACAGAATATTTCCAAAATATTTTGACAAATCTAATACTTCTAACTCAATCCTTGATTAACACCACCTCCCTCAGCCTCCTCTCCCCTCTGACTGGATTTTTCCCAATGCTTTTCTTTATACAGGGCAAAAAACTGGATTTCCCGGATCCCTCCACTGCATCTGTTGTTTTTCCTGCTTTCAACTGGTTCAAACAAGATGCCCCCTGGTGTTCTCCTCTCACCCATTTTTCTGCTCCATTTATGTGTTGTCTTGCCCTGTGAAATTGTAAACTCCTTGAGGGGAGGGACTGTCTTTTTATTCGTCTGATCTCCAGTGCTTAGCACTGTACTGGGCACATAGTAGGTACTTAATAAATGTTTTTTGGATTGGATTCTTCAGTCTCTCTCTATCTGATGGTTTCTTCACTACAGTCTTCAAATATGCTCAAATCTTCCCATCCTTAAAAAAAACATTGAATTAATCCTACCATCCCCTCAAGTTATCATCCTATATCTCTCCTCCCTATTTCAGCTAAATTCCTTGTAAAAGCTTTCTACATGTTTCTTCCACCTCCTCTCCCTATTCAGACAATCAATTACATAATTCAATTGAAACTGCTCTCTCCAAAGTTACAGATGATTTTGATTACTAAATCTGATAATCTTTTAATTCAATTTTCTTTTATTTTCAGTTCTAAATCATCTATCCCTCATCCATTCCCCTACCCATTGACAAGACAAGAAAAAATATAACCCATTAGAAATATGTATAATCATGCAAAACAAATTTCTTTGTTAGCCATGTTCCATTTTTTTTAAGCGAACAAATAAAGAGAAAGAAAATAGGCTTTACTCTACACCCTGAGTCCTTCAGTTTTTTATGGAGGTGGGTAAAATGTTTCATTATGAGTTCTTTGGAATTGTGGTGGGTCACTGTGTTGATCAGTTATGAAGTCTTTCAAAATTTATAATCTTTACAATTTTGCTGTTACTGTATAAGTTGTTTTAGTTCTGCTCACTTCACTGTTGCTGAAAATAACCTCTGGTCCCCAAATGGGCACAGTAAGTTAGACAGACTCAGGATGAGTGAAGCAGTGAAACCTGTAATACACTGCCAGTAGGAAGCAGGTCTGTGACTGGAGATGCGCGCACACACACACACACACACACACACAAACCCTACAGAAGCAAGAGCAAACCTTATATCCCTGTTCCCATTCCGCAAGTCCCTCCTAGCTGATTTTCATTGGTAAAGTCAGAACAGGTCACAGACTTCCCAAAATGTCCACCACATATTCCCCTTGGTATGTTTCCCCCTCCTTCTTTATATATAAAATGTTTAGAAAATGGCATCTTAACCCATTAACCTGGCCCAGAGGTTGAGAAGCTAGTATTCATGAGCCTATTAAGCATGTGCACCCTAAGTAAAGCTTAACCATTGTCCTACTTCCAGCCTCTTTAATCCAACTAGTTTCACTCAATTTTAGCTCGTTCTTGAAGCTCCTGACCCAGAGCTCCTCTCAATTTCCTTATCTGGAAATATAATCATATCTTCTCGCACTTTGCATCAATTCATACAAATCTTGCCAGGTTTTTCTGAAACTATCACCTTCATAATTTCTTATTGCACAAAAGTATTCCATCATATTCAATAAACAAGACTGATTTCAGCAGTTGCAGGCATCTCTTGAGTTCAGCTAATGTTTTGTCCCAAAGGATCACTGTTGTGTTAAGCAACCCTGGGCTTCAGAAGTCCTCCTGATTGGCTAGTTGTTGTGCCAGTCTGATGTCTGGTTCCCCTATGAAAAAGGGAAATTCTAGCATGTTTAAGGGAAGTATAGGCATTACAGAGCTCAAGTCCACACAATCAATAAACATTAAGCACCTACTAAGTACTAGGTACTGTTCACCTGCCTCAAGGAATTTACAATCTAATGGGGGAAGATAACACTCAAACAAATATATACAAAGAAGACTGACCTGTGGGTGGCCAGAGACGGGAGAGTCAGGAATCAAACAAGAAGTTTAATTTCAAAGTGAGGAAAATGTTTACAAGTCCTCCTGAGGACAAAATGAAGTGAGGCTTGCTCACTTGTGACAGGGGTAGGGTTTTTAAGCATGAAAGAGTCGGGACCCAACACAGTCTTGGGGCATGAGTAAATAGGTCCCATGGCAAGCCCATGCATGCAGGCATATGGGGGAAATACGGGCATTCTTGGGTCCTGTGGGAACAGTCTCCAAGTTATTAGAAATATTGATCCTTGCGGTTTTCTCAAGTCTTAAGAGTCATTGAGCTCTATGAGGTCAATTCAGGGAGGTACAGAACCAAAGGTTCTTCGTGGTAGTGATGGGGTATGGGCCCAAAGTGAGACCTTTGTCCCAATTTGGGCCCCATTTGTCTATGGGTGCTAGAACACCCTTGGACAATCCTTGAATTCTCCCACTTGATCAAGGAGATCTCTGGCATTCCCCTGAGGCCATAATTCCATCAATTGGCCTTTCATTTTGGCTACACCCAATCCCCCAATTCTGTTATCCTTGACCTAGCCTAGCCCTCCATTTTCTTAACCTCCCTATGGCCCCAGGCCACTTCCCACCCTTAATCCTATCTAGGTTCCATTCTCCCTTGGCCAACCCTCCAGATCTATTACCTCATAAACTACTTGTCCACTCCTAGATCCCTCCCGTAGTCTTTCTGTATATAAGGTCCATCCTGTCTCCATTAAGAGGCTCTGATTCTTATAATCTAGCCACTGCTGAGATTTTTAGAGTGTAGCACAGACTCTCAGATTCCTCAAGAGTCTGGCTAATATGGCGGATCTTTAATAAACCTTGTCTTTAGCTGAAAGAAGGCTTGGGCCGAATTCTTTCAAGCAGGACCCTTGTGTCGTGATCTAGGGGTTCCAGCACCCCTAAACCTCTAGACCTCATCAGTAGGAACAGCAGTGCAGCACCTGATTTGGTTCGCTTAGCAGTTACAAGTACAGGGATTGTTCAGAGTGTCAGAAGATGTGATTGATCGCTTTCTGCTGTAGTTCCAGCTCTCAGATCAGGATCCCCTGGGAAATAGAGAAATCATAAGTCCCAGTTCTGGGGTTTTGCTGTGGCTGAGATAATCCAGAAGGTACGAGTAAAGGAATGTTGTTATGCCAAGTTCAGGGCACAGCCTGCTTACTGGGCCTTAGCTCTGGAAAACAGGATGTCTCCTAATATCTTGACATTATATGCAGGATGCAGTAGGAAATAATTAATAAAATGAAGGCATTAGTATTAAGAGGAAGTGGGAGAAAAGGTATAAAAAATGGTATTTTAGTTGGTACTTAAAGAAAGCCAGAGAAGTGTGAAGGCAGAGTTGTGGAGGGAGAATATTCCAGTCTTGGAGGACAGCCAGAAAACTTAACATGCACATAATTTGTTCAGCTATTCCCTATTGATAGGGAGCCTCTCAGTTTCCAATTTTTTACCACCACAAAACAAGCTACTATAAATATTCTTGTACATATGGGTTCTTTTCTTCATTTTATCTCTGGGGTATAGACTTAGTAACCCTTGCTGGGTCAAAGGGTATATACAGTTTTATAGCTTTGGGGGCATAGTTCTGTTGAAAGTGCATTTGGGGGAAATCATAACTGACCCCACTTTCTGCTATTTTGCTATTGTATTTCTTCTTTTTCTGTGTGGTACTCAGTGTACTGAATGTCTCCTTCATTACCTCCCTTCCCCCAATCACTTTCCAGTAACAAAAGAAAACTCCAAGGACCCTGAATAGTTCTTTCAAACTCACTCACTTCTCTTTATTCCCTCTACTAAGGCATATAGTAGGAGCCAAACAAATGCTAATAAATAACTGAATGATAATGAAGATACTAGTCTGGTGTAAATGGCTATGCTAAAGGTCTTTATAGCAATTTAAGTATCCTTTTTCTTTTGCTAAAAACATATCTTTTCAGGTTTATTGTACCCTACCTGATCTTACCCAAAACTGCTTTGTAAGCCTGCCTATGTCACCTACTTGATTGTACCCAAACTTCTGGGTCATGTGGCTAACTAAGGAGGAGACACTATTTATCTATCCACGCACGTATACATATACACATACACATACACATGTATGTAATACACAGATACATATTTATGTATGTGTATGTGTGTGATTTGTGAAATTGTGAGACACACATGTCCGTCACCCACTCTTGAGTGTATCAATAAATTGCAATTTACCAGCTTGCCCGTTACCTGGCATATTCCTGCACTGGTTAGTTAGTATCAAGTGCTAAAATAAATCAAAGCCATGAATTGAGGAATAAAGTGTTCTTTATTTATTGAGATAACAGGGTAGTGTGTTTATTTAATTGAGATAACAGGATAGGAAACCTGCCACTCTAGGGGATGCCCCTTGAATGCAGAGCACAATGAATTTCCCAACTCTAAGACCCATGCAAAAGCTTCTTATACCTTTAGGAGGAGAGGGGCGAGGGGGCAATATGAGGTGGCAAGGCCTGGTCATGAGACCCCAGTGGCCCTTAGCAATGTGTACAAGGAAAATCACTTCATTCTGGCTGTTTTGCCCTTCATACCAGGAATCCTAAAGGAAGGGGGCAAGGATGTTAGAAGCTGAGATCCAGCTTAAACTAGGTTCCATTACAAGGTAAAATCTCCCAGTTGGGGAGACTTAGGTTAGGGTGTGGTTCAGCTTGACCTAATCAAGAGTAAATATCTTAAAAGTAGGAATGTAAATACATTACTGAAATTCTGACATTCCTAGGATCATAAAGAGAGTGGCAAGTAACATTACATTTTCTATCAGTAATTTTCTGTCACTAGCAAGGATCTTGAAAATTCTTTTGATGATTTCAAATTGCATTCTAGAATGATTGGGCTAATTTACAGCTCTACCAATAGTGCACTTGTGTACCAATTTTTTCACATCCCCTCTACCATTTGTCATCTTCCTTTTCTTGTCATCTTGGCCAATCTGATTGGTATGAGATGGTACCATAGAATTGTTTTAATTAATATTTCTCTAATTATTAAAATTGTAGAATATTTTTTCATGCCTTGGATTTCTTCTTCTGAAAACTATCCCTTCATGTCCTTTGGTCATTTGTCAATTGGAAATGGTTATAATCTCCTTATTCTTCGAAATTTGACTCCATTCCCTATGTGTTTTAGAAATTAGATCTTTTTCAGAGAAACTTGCTGAAAAGATCCCCCTCTTCCAGTTTCCTGGGGGTTTTTTTTGTTTTTGTTTTTGTTTTTTGAATATAAGCTGTGTTGGTTTTGTTTATGTAAAAGTTTTGTATAATCAGAATTGAACATTTTACTTTCTATGAACCTGTCTATCTCTTGTTTGGTCATGAACTCTTTCCCTGTCATTAGATCAGGGTAATTTCTCCCAAGTTCCATTAATTTGTTTATAATATCACTCTTTATGTCTAAATCATGTACCCATTTTGAATTTCTCTTGGTATATGGTCATGCTTAGTTTCTTCCGGATTACTTTCTGGTTTTCCCAGCAGTTTTGCAAACAGTGAGTTCTTGCCACAGTAGCTGAGATGTTTTGATTTATCAAATACTAGGTTACTATACTCATTTGCTTCCATACCTAATCTGTTCTATTGATCAACTTACCTATCACTGAATTGTGATAATTACAGCTTTGTAGTATAGTTTGAGATGTGGTACTGCTAGGTCACCCTCTTTCCTATTTTTTCTTCATTCATTCCCTTGATATTCTTGACCTTTTGTTACTCCAGATGATTTTTGCTATTTGTTTTCTAGCTTTGTAAAGTAATTCTTTGATAGTTTGATAGGTATGGCATTGAATAAGAAAAGTAATTTAGCTACTATTGTGATTTTTAATGTATTAGCCTGATCTACCCATAAGTAATTAATATTTCAGGGTGAGGTGCTGTTTTAATCAATCAATAAACATTTATTAAAATGCCAGGGACTGAGCTAAGTGCTGCTTGAGTGGCATCTTAAAAGAAGAAAGGGATTTTCCAAAGCAGAGTGAGGTAAGGAAGAAGGAGCACATTCTAGGATACAGTCAATACAAAAACAAGGAGATGGGAGATGGAATGAGATGTGTGTGTATTTGTGTGTATGTGTGCTTTCTTGTGTTTTTTTTTTTAACAGGAATGAGTGGGGTATTTTGTCAAAAAGTTTTTTCTACATCTATTGAAATAATAATATGATTTTTGTTATTTTTGTCATTAGCATGGTCAATTATGTTTATAGTTTTCCTAATATTGAACCATCCCTGAATTCTGAGTATAATACAGCCATAGTCATAAAATATGATCATTGTGATATATTGCTGCAATCTCCTTGCTAATATTTTATTTAATTTTTTTGCATCAATATTCATTAGGGAAAATAATCTAGAGTTTTCTTTGTCAGTTTTGACTCTCCATGGTTCAGAAATCAAGACCATATTTGTGTCAAAGATGGAATTTGTTAAGAGTGCTTCTTTTTTTTTTTTAAACAGTTTATACAGTATTGGAAATAATTGTTGTTTAAATGTTTGGTAGCATTTGCTTGTAAATCCCTCTAGCTCTGGTTTTTTTTTCCCCTTAGAGAACTTATTTATGACTTGTTCAATTTCTTTTCCTAAGATAGGGTCATTTAAATATTCTATTTTCCATTCTATTAATCTGTGCAACATATATTTTTGTAAATATTAATCCAATTCATTAAGATTGTCAGTTTTACTGGAAAATGATTGGTCAAAGTGGCTCTAAATAATTGCTTTTATTTCATCTTCATTGGTTGTGAATTCAACTTTTCCATTTTTGATACTAGTAATTTGATTTTCTTCCTTTTTAAAAATCAAATTAGCTAATGACTTATTTATTTTATTGGGGTTTTTATGTTTAATTGGTTGATTTTAGTTACATGCCCAATTTGTTGATCTGTTCTTTCTTTTATTAATGTAAGTGTTTAGAGACATAAATTTTCCCCTAAATGCTGCTTTATCCCACAAATTTTTACATCTCACTATTATCTGTAATGAAATTATTTATTCTTTGATTCACCCATTCTATAGGATTGTTACTTAATTTCCAACTAATTTTTAATCTTTGCTTCAAGAATCTTTTATTGAATGTAATTTTTATTACATTATCATCAGAAAAAAAGATGCATTTAACCCTTTTGCTTTTCTTCCTTTGTTTGCGAGGTTTCA